CAGTATAAAACTCAAATGCGCATAAGAAGAACTTCTTCGTAAAGAGTTATGGGTAACCAACCAATGGGAAGAACGTCCTATTCTTTAAAGATAGCGCACGACCCCATATCGCATATCGGAAAAATTAGTTCTTAGAAAACCTCGTACCGCATGGCAGGAGCGGTAGAAAGAAAAAAACTCCCCTGTCCGGATTCTCCGTATAGTTTGGTTGCCTTTTTCTTATAATAAAGTCAAATTACTTAGCACGTCTAAAAAGTACCATCAAAGATACCACTGAACTCGGCGGAAAGGGTTAAATACTCCACCCAGTGCATTACAGTCTGACTGGAATCCGTCCAGTAGGGTGAAGTATTTTGCAAAGATAAATTACAGGAAGTTGTGTGACAATTATCACCCACACCATCGTAACGAAAACAGATAAAACCTAATTACTTTTAACAACACAATTAAGTGAATATTTTAAGATTTTGTTACGGTCCATAGCCATCAATATTATGGGTAGTACAACAATGGTAATAAGTAAATACTATCAACAAATCACGAGTGTTTCATATACTTTCGATTAAATCCAACACTCGTGTAGTGCATCAAGTGTCAAAGAAAGAATAATTCTTTACCTGATTTTGTCTCCGCATTTATGAGTAACACTGAGGCTTTAATTCAAGCATAAAAGATAAAACCCCTACCATTCTTGTCAACCCAGCCATCACTTAAAGAGAATCCGAGATTACATTCTTTTTAAATGCGTTTGAAATCAAAAGACAAGTATGGGCATCTATTTTGAGTACGTTATCTATAAAAGTGTAAAAAAGGGATTACTGAAGATCAGATCGATCACATTTGGGTAACAAATCCAAGCTATCGTGGAAGAAAATTGTGGTAAATAAACGAGAAAGGCCGCAGATTAGTTCAATGTCTCACAGATATTACGAAATCAGATGCGATTCCTGTCCGATCAGACATGCGATTTCCAAAAAGCAGCTTATGGGGCTCGAAACTGTACTAGTCTTCCGATCACCCCATTATCCCAAACACAGAGATCAAGCTTTTCAATTTTAAATTTTACACAGCTCTCGTATTATGGGCGCCTTTAGAAGAACCGCCAGTCAGTATTCAAAATATAAAGGATTCGTTCATATCTAGTATTAAAAGCGGTACCTAAGGCGTGAATAAAGACCATCTAGAAAATGCATATAGCCACTAAAAAACGAAGACAATAAAAAAGAAGAAAAAATACATTAGCTACTTATGTAAACACTCGCATCGCAAATTTCGACTAGGCTTTAGTAATCCAATTGATATCGCATACTACCGATCGCGGAAAATGCCTTCATTGTATATTTAAGTAATACAACAAATTAATTGAAAATACCAGTAGAAAACTGGTACCGTAGTCCCTATAGTGCTATCATTTCATCTGTCAAAACAACTTAGAGGGTAACTGGGTCATTTCCAGTGGCTGGTCTGTCACGCCCCACGGAGTTGCAATGAGTAACCTCTTTATGATCTCACTAAAAGTACCCTTTTTTATCTGAAAGAAGACGCTTTACAGTCAAATTTCAGCAAATCGTTTTCACACTTTCTTTTCATCCCAGATTCACTTTTTACCATCAATCGTAACGCTTCTAAGGTAGTTTGGGAGTACGGCTAAACGCTATACTGTCCATGTCAGCAGATAGAAACCCGATTTCTCAATTGTCCATTTTCGAAAGCCCATTTAGCCATCAAATGTGACTGATTGCAGACTCTTTTGAAGTAAAAAACCTTATGTGGGTGAGTTTTGCAAAAATGCCTTAAAATCGACCGAAAACGCATGGTTTATGGAAGGCTGTTGAAGCGTATCCACAAAATGAACATGTGACTAAGCAGTGTGAAATTTCCTTAGTATAGGCCAGTTAATCCCATAATTGTTTTAGTATAAAATATTAATAATCGACCTGGAGACGGTAAAATTGTCTTTGTGCAATTTTCCTATACATTTTATTTTCACTTTACTCTTTACGAGTACCCAAAAGTTGGCTCAACTAAATTCAGTGACCAACTTATTTTCCGTTTAGATACCACTGTCAAGATACCATTTACCTTTTTATCTTGGGCAGAAAAATTGTGTGAATGAACTTTAAATAGGTTTTACTAACAACGCACAAGAAAGAAGTTTACCAACAAAGCAGTGGGTACAAACAACCAACAGACATTGGGGAGGAACTCCAAATGATAGGAAAGTACTAGTTCTGCGGTGTTTTAGTACAAAATACATTTGGAAGGTAAACAAGTGCATGACCTCCAAATAGGGTGCATTTAAGCAAATTTATTGTAAACACGTGCAAGGATGTTGTTCATTACATATTTGCAATAAATTTGCTACAAGAAGTTCTTAGTTTTGCTGCTAAATACACAGGAGAAAAATTTAAGGGATTGTCGATGGCCATTAACAATAATAGAGCATAGAATGTTCCCACATTAGCACGATTACTCATTATCTGTCAGATGAACAATTAACCCATCACAAACTGTGCTATTCAATGCGACTATCAAGAAGGTTCAAGTTGAATAATTAATTTTACCCAACTGCGGAAGTAGTGCTATTCATTTAAGAGCTGCTTTTACGCAAGAAGAAAGGCGAACGTCAGTATGGCTCTTATAATCCTAACAGACGAACTTCTAATCGTGCTGTAAAGTATGCCTTCTACAAAAGTGATAAATACCTTCAGAAGTCAACCATTAATGAATTAATGTGTGAAGTTTCACAACTATTAACTAATTTATAGAGAAAATAAGGTTTTTATAAATTTCTGCCCGTAGAAGGGTCCATTTTAAACAATGCGTGGTTCGGTTGATAAAAAATATCCATGCAAGATACGCTGTAAATGTCTCAACTTTTGGTTGCTCAAAAAAGGGCATGGCTTTATAAAACCACGATCAATCACCTTCTGTCTGTGGAACCCGAGGCTCTCTTAAAGCCCCTGTCTGGGCAGTGCTTCCCACGGCAAAAGATCCATCAACAGGTTGCTTTTTTGGCTGCTCTCCTTCCACTTTTTCTTCCTTCTTTTCGACTTCTGATTTCACCTCCTCGGGGGGTCGTTTTTCCGCCTCAGTTTGTCGCAAAATCACCGTCGGCGAAAGATGAATCGTGCGAGTCCCATCCACAGGCACCTGGAGGTGTTGCTGGCGGCGGTGAGACGGGGTGGAGGATGGGGTGGTGGAGAAACGAGCATTCTCGCCATTAGCTGGTGGCGGTGGTGAAGGCGAAGGCACAGGACTTTCGAGGAGATGCTGAAGTAGGCTTGTGGGACTCTCGGTGGGTGGTGTTGTGGTAGTACTACGTAGGTCCACAGGGTGCGCCCCCGGAGGTAACTGGTCTGCTATAGCTGCCTCCGCCGAAGCACGGAGATTTTCCGAACTTAACTGGCCGTTTCTTTTAGGGAAAGAGAATGATTCAAGATATCGACTAGTCCAGAAAGAGAGCCCTTTATTTGGCCAATAATTTGTGGTAAGGCCCCACATGTAACTATGAGATCAAAATGTCGAAGGTGTTAGATTAGTGTCAAAGAATTTTACATAGAACTAGGAAGCCACCTGTTAGCTAAATTACTTCTTGTTGAGATTAAGAAAAAGCCATCCAAGTTTTGGCTTTCCAATGGAGAAAGCTATAAGAGTAGCTCACAAAAACGACCAATTTTGCTACATCACTTAGTTTGTGATTATCTATTCAATTTTTCCAAGCAATAGAGAAACATTTTTGAAACGGTTTTGCCTTCTATTGCGAGATCACAGTAAAAAAAGGCAAGCTTTGAAGTCGTAGATGCTTTAATTTTTCAAAAAAAACATTCGAAGGCACCAACTCAGACATTAGAAGCTTTAGCACGCCAATAAACGTCGGAACTAGATTATGCTTCTATAAATATCAGTTTCAGCCCAAACCTATTCGCTTTCGTCTCAGCTCCATTTCGATATTAAAATCACCTGTCAGACAGATGTTCTGAGCCCCATTAAAGGTTGTTTATCACTTCCAGTTACGTTAAAGTGACTAATATTATTTGACAACATCGTTGAAGTACTTTGAGAATATGATAATTTAAGGAGTTACAAACAACCAAAACGCGCCTGCTTGGTGGAAGAAAATGGGAGTGAACAGAGGGGAGTGAGAGGCACTGATTTAACTCAAGGTCCAACGGATCATTGCAATCGTCATATAAGAAATCAAGATGTTAATTTAAGCTCCGTAAAGAAAATTCAGCAACGCTGGGAATTTTATTTTGTTATAAGAACAAAATAACTTGAAATTGTAATGAACTGTTGCATGAAATTCCGATTCTGAAAGGTGTTGACAATAAGTGTTTCAGCTTTTACAAACAAGACTCCCGCGGAGTCAAGACTTCCGACAGATTTTTAATTTGCATTGCTCAATTAATTAAGAAGTGGGTTTGAAAAAGTCCCATTCTCACACCTAAACGCACTTTAGCTTAAATCTGCATAGAATAGTCTGTATTCTACTTAGAGAAGCTCATAGGCCCAGTTAGTATCTTTTATATACGGCACTGCCTATGGCACAGAAAGTGTGAGCAGTCCAGGAGAAATGCGTCTGCGTCTCGTCGTAATTTCGCGGGTCTGGATCGCGTTGAAAGTGGGCGTGATTCCTGTGCTGCTGCAACTTCCAACAATGATGGAGCAGAGGCATCATAAATTAAGCCCTCAGAATTCATTAAAATCGCAAGAGTAAAGAACGAGAATTGAATGCAGACACATAATTATAGCTGCTTATAATCATTAGCTCGAAAATTAATCCAAACTTATTGACAAAAATGAGAAGTACTTAAACTAAGTGATTTACAGGACTTGATATTGGTGATCTACCTACGTAAATCGAACAAAAACAAATTTCTAAAGCTGCAAAAGTGTTTCAAAAATAATTCATTCTAACGCGTTTATTAGAAATCGTAGTTTTGGGGGGAGCTTAATGAGGCGAATCACTAGCAGATGGATAAACGGCCGAATTATGATACCTTTGAGATGGTTGGACAGCGAGTTCTACCCGACACTCAAAATTTATTTCAAAAAAAATTTGAAGGCACAGAATGTCTTTCTATCATGAATATCGACCCTTCTGTCTAATTTTAAATTGCTAAATGCTTTTTGTGCAATAGAAATCAAAGAGGACACAATAGGCTGCAAAACTTGGGGGACATTAAAAGGGCTCTAAAATCAAAACAATATCTTTGGTGCAATAAAACTGTTCCATCAAAAAAGGCGCATTATTTTTATTTTTGACGACAAGAATTGTACTGGCGGAAAACTTGGAAAGAACGTATATATTCTCTTTTGTTAATATCAATTATTTAACCTATTTCTGTGATGCTTCTTGGAAGAAGACACTCCATTCTTATCCCGGAGCACAATGATATAAGCACTAATTTCCTCCACTCAACAAATGGCTACAGTGGTAATGAGACCCATCTGCCGACATGATGGCAAAACATTACTGTCTTATGAGCGTCTTTGATTTTGGTGGATTAATTTCCAGGTGAAAAGGTTTGAGGTATAACGAGCACGCTTAGCTGAATTACAATGTTGTTTGTCTGTGTTGAAATAAATTTAAAAAGAAAATTTGGGGTAAATTGGCAAAAACTATTCAACTATTCTCTTTGTAATTTAAATTATCCTTTTTAAAAATGCACAGTGTGCCACTATCATGGATTTTTACAAGTTCCGAGGCCGATTACCTCCAAAAAGGTTCAAGAACCGCATTAAAATATCAGCCCATCTTTCCCGATTACCTAAATCCGAAATGCGAATTCCATAGCCACATCTGAAGAAATTTCGAAAAAAATTCACTCAAGAAGTATTACAATAATTAAAGTGTTATCTTTAAAAGGCAAATTTATCCCAAGGGCGAGAATTTGCCCGAGACAAAATGGCTTTCTTATTTCATCCAGCTCCTGGTGAACCACTTTACTAGTAACAGTGGCTTCCTTCAATTTTCAAGCCTAACGCCAGTCCGTTTACTGCCACAGATTTTGGAGAGGGTGTGAATTTAATTGCAGCGGAAGTAATTATTCTTTGTTTGAATTGGATCAAACCAGACTGGAGGAAGAAAACCAAAAAAAGACAGTGGTAGTGATGATGACGGTGTCCGCAGACTTACAAGACGTTGACGTCGTAGGCGTCTTCGCTTTTCCGGCGGACGCAGGGTGAACTAGAGCGACTGTAAGGAGGCAAAATGTTAAAAACAGTAAAAAAAAACGAGAGAATCTGCTTTTAGCTTCGCGCAGTTAAACCAGTTTGTGAAAACAGGTTCACTTTCCCACATCTGTGACAAGAAAAATGCAACTATTTCAATAGATCATGCTTATTTTCCAGAGTTTATTGTGAGTGAGAAAAAAGGATTTTGTTAGATTTTCGGAAAAATGTTGAGTAGAGTTACTACCTATTCTGGCATTTAAAGAAGTTTCAATAAACTTCAAGATCTTATCAATGCGCCCCTCATGGCAAGTTTTTCGGTATTTTTTCCAAGGAAAGTAGTTGAATCGGTCTCCTGATCATAAATGTCAACAGCCTCTAGTTCCTATTTTGCACAAGTTTTACGATTTTTAGCTGGATAAATTCGAATGAGACCATGAGAGAATCACTTACCTTAAGGCGAGAGATGGTTTCTCAGCACTCGGACTTGAAGCGTCCAAGTGAAGACTGGCTCCAACTGGACTGAAGCGTCGGCTTTGGTCAAAACTAGTAAGAACAAAAATCCACTTGGCATGCAGAAATTCCCCACTCTCATAAAAATTCAATCCAATCCATATTAATAAACAAAATCCGCATAGGTTAGTGAGAATTTCAAAGAAAATGGAATAGAAGAATTGATTCGGTGCCAGGAATAATTCATTCGGAGAAACGTCATCGCAATTTTCAGGCTTAGTATTTTCGTAAGTAATTATTCTACCTGCTTCCAGGTATGCGTTGGCTGAAAGAAAAAATCTAACACTCACCTGATAATTTTGGTGTCCACTTCATAGTCAGATTCACAGGAACACCAGTGTCCCATTTGGTCCCGAAAACTTAATTTAAGAGAAAAGATAAGAATATTGTTACACAAGTTATACCCATGTTTTAAACAGCCTTGTGTAAAATTCGGTAGAGATAGTGAGCAAAAGCTTGAAAGATACTATTCCTAGTGAAAGCATACGCCAAATTATTTAGTAACAAAATGAGGTCCAACTTTTAGTTTATTAACCAAGTAAAGTCGCATTTAAAGTCTGTTAGCGTAAAATATTGAAGGGACATCATTAAAAACAGCGTAATGCGCAGTTTTTAGTTGTACCTCAGGTTACAGGACTGTCGACTGGGAACTTTGGTATTTTCGTGTCTCAAGTAAACAAAAGTTCCACTTTTATTCCGCACCCTCGGGGCTAATTTTTAACAAGTATTATTTCATATACACAGCCAGAAAAACTACGTTAAAGCATTATTAACTTCAAACCTTCGTGGGCTGCCAAGGATTTTTATACAAGGTGAATAGAAAAGGAAAAAAACTGCAAGCTGTTTCATAAGATTAACGTTTATCAACTCCTTAAGATTGCACCAAGATGTTATTGTATCATATGACCAAAAACTTGCGTAGATTTTTAGTACGGCCAGCAGAAATGATTTCTTGTACCTTGCAGAAACTTGTAAAATGTATGCTAACTTCCATATTTATTATAGAACAGAGACAAACACCTTCGTTGCTCTCTCTATCATCTTCTGCTTAACCCGAACTCATATTCATTTCATAGTGTCGGTTGGACAAGGCTGCTAGATGCCATTTCATTCAGCCGAGGGGTTCTGGAAGCCTTCCCAAACATTCCCACAGCATTTTAAAAGCGTGGTGAAAGGGTGCACTACTTAGAAATGGTTTTAACGAATCCGCTGCTTCAGGTGATATATCGCTTGAAGGTGAATGCTGCACCATGCTCAGAAAGACTACGCATTCTCAAAAACAACTACTG